GAGTGTTTTGCCGTCTTCCGTGATGGAAGAGGGAGGTACGGTTTCTTTGACTCACACTCAAGAGACTCCTTAGGTTTGCCCCTCTATGGTGGAACTGCAGTGATGCTGATTTTCAGTAACCTGGGTCAGCTGGTCCGGCACCTGGACACGCTTTTTAGAGACCGTGGTGCTACGACCCAGTACGAATTTGTGCCTGTTTCATTTGAGCCAGTCACAAATAAAAGCAATGAGCCACCGACAGCCTCAGCTAGTGTTCCTCCTCAGAACATTGATGTTCCCGCGCAGCCCGCAGAGAACACTGCTAAACAGGTCTCGGCTGAGCACGCACACACCAGCACCGTCCGTCACACAGCACACATAGGTCACACTTTGAAGACACCGAGTTTAACAAAGGTAAGTAAAGAACGCCGTCGAAAAGCAGCTCGTCGCATTAGGAATGAATCAGTACCTGAAATAGTATCTGCTGAGCTAAAACGGACTAAAAGAAACCTTCGTGAAAAGCAGCAGTATGCCAGTAGTACAGAGCATAGGGCCAAGAAACTACAGACACAAACACATAGATATAGAACTGATACACTCTACAGACAGAAAAGACTCACTTTATCGAAACATCATTATGACAGTACACTGGATAAAGTTAGAGCATACAAAGTTAGGACATACCAAAGCGATGCTGTTATAAAGAAACAGTATCGTGTCCAAAAATACAAAACTGATCTCGCCTATCAGCGTAGACAAAAACAGTACGTTGTCAATAGATACAACACAGAGAAGGGTTATAAGGAAAGACAGAAACAGTACATAGTGAATAGGTACAACACAGAGAGGGATTTTAAGGACAGACAGAAACGGTACTACGTCACTAGATACAACACAGATCCATCTTTTAAAGAAAAACGTAAAACGTACAAAACTCTTACATATTTAGAAAATGCCTCACACAGAATTAATAGGAGAGTTTATAGTAACAATCTGTATAAGTGTAACGACATATACAGAAAAAGGAAACTACAAAACATATACACTATGTACCACAGTGACCCCGACTTTAGACAGCAACACATAGCGCGCTGCACACAACAAAAGAGGGACCGCATACATTTAGATCCCTTATTCCACATTCAACACAAGTTGCAGTGTGCACTGAGGATCCGGAGGAGGTACAGGTACATCTCTAGACCCTGTCACCTGAGCGTGCTGCCTGAACCAGAGCCCAGTAACGTTCAGGCAGTAACGAGGAATGCGCAGCCTGCTGTGAGTGTCGTTCAGGTGCAGGTTGGTGGACGTGAGGCCCAGCCGGAGCTCGGTGTGCAGCAGCCAGAGCTCAGTGGTGCTGCGCAGGAGCCTCAGCTGAGCCGAGCGGAGCAGGATGCTCAGGTCAGTGGTGCCGTTCAAGAGCCGCAGGTAAGTGAAGTTATAGAAGCAGCAATTTCAGCGTTCCGTGAACAGGTTCGGGACAGACCCACCTTGATTTGTACAGTGTGTCACAGGACACTCTTTCCAAATCAGGTGTTGCGTTGCAGAAGGTCTAAGTACGTCCAGAATGTTCACATTGTTGCTGCTTGTTTGACGGGCACATATGTTCACCAGTGTGGCCGGCGCTGTTCAGCCCCGTGTACCGTGTCAGCTGACAGGAAGCAGGAGTGGATCTGCCACACCTGCGATGGTCATTTGGGAAGGGGTAGCATGCCTTCCATAGCAATGGCAAATAATTTGGGGCTGTCTCTCATTCCACCAGAACTCAGTGAATTAAATGTGCTTGAGAGACAACTTATAGCTAAGATCTTGCCTTTTGCTAAAATAGTAGCTTTACCTAAAGGTCGGCAGAGAGCGGTACATGGGGCTGTGGTGTGTGTTCCTTCTGAGATGGAAACCACAGTTAACTGCCTCCCACGGCCCAGAGAAGAGGCCCAGCTGCTGCAGGTTAAGCTAAAGCGTAACATTAGGTACAAGGGCCATCAGCACTTCTTCACTGTAAACATGAAGAACGTGTTAGGCGCTTTAGCCACTCTTAAAGAGATTAATCCAGAATATAGGGACATTTCCATAGACCGTGAGGTCAATTATGATTATCTTTTTGATGATGAGCCCAGTCCTTTAGAAAGGGAGGAAATCTCTGATGCAGATTTGTTAGAAGCAGCTGCAGACCCCAACATTGAGGAAGGCCCAGTTGAGGGTGGAAATGCTGAGAAGCAGCCAGAGGAGGAGCTTCGTCCAGGTTTGGCCCTCGACACTTGCATGCAGCCTCCTGATATCGCTCAAGAAATTCTATCATACGGTCAGGGTATTTTTAGCATAGCGCCTGCCCAGGGAAACAAACCTGTTGGCGTTTTTACTACCCTAAAGTTAGAAGCTAAAGCCTTCCCTGTTCAGTTTCCTGCAGGGAAGAATACACTCTGTGAGCCCAGAGCCGCGAAACTCTCCCCTAGCAGGTATTTCAATGTTCGCCTCTTTTCTGCAGACACTCGTTTTGCTGTAGATCAGAGCTACTTGTTCTTTGCTCAGTTTGCGACAGAGACACACATTGCTACTAATAGCATGTCGATTCAGCTGCGTAAAAGCAAGCCGGTCAATAAAGAGGGACGCGTCATTTCAAACAGGATGCTCCAAGATAAGGTAGAGGTGGAAAAGCTCATCAGCAATAGAGATGCTACTAGGTTTATGAGACCACTGAGAGGAACGCCGGCTTATTGGGAGAAAGCTCTTAAAGATCTCCACGCCATGGTGCGGCAGTTAGGCAAACCGACCTTTTTTCTGACTTTCTCTGCTGCTGAGATGAGGTGGCCTGAGGTCATCGAGGCCATCAAGGCTCAACAGGGTGAGCAGGTCGACTTCTCTCAGCTTGACTGGAATGCCAAGTGTGACATCCTCAGGAGCAATCCAGTCACAGTCATGAGACTGTTTGAAAAAAGAGTCGACGCGCTCATGAATCACCTGATTCTGTCGCCAGCTCAGCCGATCGGTGAGGTGGAGGATTTTTTCTACAGGGTAGAGTTTCAGGCTAGAGGGAGTCCTCACATTCATATGTTAGTTTGGGTCAAGGATGCCCCTGAATTGGAAGAAGGCTCAGAGAAAGAGGTTTACGAATTTATTGACCGATATATAAGCTGTGAGATGCCTGACCCAGACGCTGATCCTGAGCTCCACCAGATCGTGTCTGAGGTCCAGATCCACAGCAGGAGCCATTCAAAGTCATGCAAGAGGGGGAACGTGGTCTGCAGGTTCGGGTTCCCAAAGTTGCCTGTAGACAAGACCACCATAACGTTCCCAACTGTTGCTGATGTAGAGGCCTTTCTTAATGATGGGGAGATGTTAGATGATGAGGGGCAGTTGTGTGGGGATGTTGAGGTGCTGGGTGATGAGCAGCCCAGCACCAGTAGAGCGTGCCAGGAGGAGCAGCCGGTGCTGGATGAGGAGCAACCCAGCACCAGCAGACAAGGTGAGTCTGACGGTGAGGAGGCCGATGAGGAGCGACCCGGTTCCGGTGGAGAGGCCCAGAAAAAAGGTGAGAGAAAAAAAAGTCTGGCCCTAAGGCAAATGGAGGCCAAAGAAAAGCTAAAGCCCCTTAGGGACTTACTCTCTGACCCAACTCAGTCATTTAGGGACTTGTCAGACCTGCTCCAGAGATGCAACCTGACACATGACGAATACCTTGGCCATGTGTATAATTTAAGCGAAAGCTACACACTGGTGTACAAGCGTCATCCAAACGACTGTTGGGTCAATGCGTACAATCCCCATCTACTTAGAGCCTGGAACGCCAACATGGACATCCAGTTTGTCTTGGACGATTACTGCTGTCTGGCATACATGATGTCCTATGTGTCTAAGCCGGAGCATGAAATGACCCAGTTCCTAGATGGCGTGATAAAAGAGGTCAAGGACAGTAATGTTAATGAAAGGGAAGAAATGAAACAGATAATGCAGGCATACGTGAAGCACAGAGAGGTCAGCGCTCAGGAGTCTGTAGCTCGGACCTGCAGCCTGCCTCTCAAGAAGTGCTCACGGAATGTCATTTTTATTCAGACTGACGATGAAGGCGTGAGGATGAGTCTCCCAATGAGCAAGTTGCAGCAGATGGATGGCAATAGTGAGGAGGTGTGGATGTCCAGTCTGCCAGACAAGTACTTGGCCAGACCGCGGACACCACACTTCGAGAGCATGTGTATGGCTGAGTTTGTGTCAGATTACAGGGTCCTTTACGGCCTTCAAACTCAAGGGAAGAATGCCATCCGTCTGCTCAACGATCAGGGCTTTATCCAGAAAAGAACAGTGGGCAAACCCGCTGTTATTAGATTTACACGCTTTTCTGAGAAAAAGTACCCTGAGAAGTTTTATGGGAGACTTCTTAAACTTTATTATCCTCACAGGTCAGTCGATGACCTCAAAAACGCGGCCTTTCCCACATACAAACGTTTCTATAAAGACTTTGTGTGTGAGACGGAGGACACAAAAAGGTTCTTCAATTTTAACAGAGGTAGGTATGAAGGAAAGGCCAAACAAATAGAAAAGGTCATGGAGCGCCTTCGGAAAGAAGGCCCCGTGATCAACGCCTGGAACTGCTATGCTCCGGAGGTGGAGGCAGATGCGCTGGATTGTGCTGCAGAGAGAGAGCATTTGGCCCCCGAAGATATTCAGGGAGAGAACGTCCCTGAATATCTGCCTGTGGAAGCTCCCACCGTTCCAGCCATAGAGGTGCCGAGGCTGAGCCCAGATGTGGTCATTAAGATGAATCGTTCTCTTAATGAAATGCAGGCGTCTGTTTTTTATGCTGTTCAGGACTGGTGCTACAGACTGGTCTGGGGCCACAGTCCGGAGCAGTTTTTCTTCTTGGTGTCTGGAGGAGCAGGCTGCGGTAAGTCGCACGTCATAAAATGCATACACGAGGAGGCCACAAAGATCCTGAGACAACTTCCGCGATTCCGCCACCAGGGGGACATGTCCCTGCCTGCAGTGTTACTGACCGCGTTTACAGGCACTGCAGCGTTCAACATTTCCGGGAAAACACTGCACTCAATCCTCAAGCTCCCCAGATCGCTGAGACCCCCGTATCAGGGTCTGGGGAACTCGCTGGACGAAATGAGAGCAGTGTTATCGGCCGTCGAGATACTGATTATCGACGAAATCTCCATGGTGTCTAAGGAGCTGTTTGCTTACATCCATTGGAGATTTCAGCAGATTAGGGGCAACAAGAAGCTTTTCGGGGGGATTTCTGTGCTCGCGGTAGGGGACTTTTATCAGCTTCCGCCACTAGGCAGGGCTAAACCGCTGTGCGTGTTCGAGGAGGGTGACCTGGATCTCTGGAAGGACAACTTCCGCATGGTTGACCTTACAGAGATCATGCGGCAAAAAGACGACCGGACCTTTGCCGAGCTGCTGAACCGGATCAGAGTCAAGCAAAGGGACGAGAGTCTGAGCGAGCAGGATATGTCCTTGCTCTCTCGGGCAGTCTGCGACCCTCACGACTGCCCTGTGGGCGTTCTCCACATTTTTGCCACCAACAAGCAGGTCGATGGCCACAATTCGGCCACGGTTGCTGCCCTCTGTCCTGATGCCATTGACATCAAGGCAGAGGATTATAAGAAATGTCCGCGCGCGGGGGTAATGATATCTGCCGGTTCGTTAAAGGGCAAGAAGAGGGATTTACCGGACAACATCCAGGCAGCAACGGGTGTTCGCGTCATGATTATTAGAAATCTGGACGTGGAGGACGGTATGGTAAATGGGACCTTTGGGACCATCGCGCATTTAGTAATTGACGAGAGCGTGTTTCCCAACTCAGTCAAGCTAATCGGGCTCAGGCTTGACAATCCCATCGCGGGTCAGAGGTTCCGCAAAAAGATTTTGGGGCCCTCGGACGATCTGGTGTACGTCGAACGGTCCGAGGAGAGCATGAGCTTTAGGGGCGTTAATAGAAGGCAGTTTCCCATGAAACTGGCCTTTGCCTGCACGGCCCATAAGGTCCAAGGCATGACGATGCAGGCAGCTGTGGTTAGCTTAGAGCGCATTTTTGAATCGGGCATGGCCTACGTCGCCCTGAGCCGCACAACGTCACTGCAGGGGCTCTACATCACACACTTCAATGAGGACAAGATCTACGCCGATCCTCATATCACAGCTGCACTGCAAGAGACACCGCGCGCTTCCTTCCAGCACATCAGACCGCTGCTTCACCGCTTCAAACACATAGACACCACACGTAGCACGCTGACCATCGTCCACCACAACACCCAGGGGCTGCCCACCCACATCGCGGATGTCAAATGCCATCACGAGTTTCCGCTGGCCGACGTCTTGTGCCTGACGGAAACTCACCTGTCCGGGTCTTCGGTCGCCCCTCTTTTTCACTTAGAGGGCTACACCCTGTTCAACAGGAACAGGAACACTTCATACAGCACGTACACACACATGGCTGCCCAAGATGGCGGTGGAGTCGTGGTTGACTGCAGGCCCTACCTTCAAGCTGAACCACGTAGGTTTTTACAGAGTGTTACTGATTTGGAGGTTGTAGTCGTGAAAATCCAGGATCCTGTAACCGCACTTATTGCAACTGTTTACAGGCCGCCAAATTATAGGTTGGATAAGTTTCTGCCCCAGTTGAGGCATTTGTTAAACTCGTTAGATTACATGAACCTCCAGCCTGTCATCATCTGTGGGGACTTTAATGAGGACCTGCTCTCCACAGATAATAAAGCCATACATGATCTGCTTCACTCCAGGGGGTACACACAACTGATTACACTAGGAACCACACGCAACAACACCCTTTTAGACCACATTTACATTTCAAATCCAGCCTTCTGCCTCCAATCGGGCGTCCTGCAGAGTTACCACAGCTACCACAGGCCAGTTTTTTGTGTGCTCTGCGGCTGTTGAACGGTGTGGTAGTATGTCCAGACTGACCACCTTGAAGGTAAGAAAGCCACTTACAGGGACACATTTGTTACACTGCATCATGCCTGCCTCTTGCT